CCCTTTATTTAAAGGGACAGCGCCTCCCAAAAAAAAAGCTGTCGGCTCGAAAGTCCTATCCCACCTCCACTGCCTGACTTGGAGAAAGGGGTCCCTCTCTTTCACTCCCACCCTGCAACAACTTGCATTCCGATGGCGCCTTCACCCCAGGACGGTCCCAAATTGCTGCGCGGGAGCGGGAATAAAACCAAAGCTGAGACAACGTCCCAGAACGGATCCCAGAACGGATCTTTGCACAGGAGATCAAAAGTTTTGGTTAAAGAGCTAACTTTTTTTTATTATTTAACAGTCTCGGGGGAGTTACACATGAGTGAGTGACAGACTGGAGTCTAACCGAGGGGTTCAGGATGGTTTCTATCTGTATGGAATAACAAATTCCCGGGAGTGACTGGAATCTAATCGAGGAGCTTGGGTTTTTGAAATAGAATTACAGATAGCCAGGAGTGAGTTACAGACTTGAACCTACTGCGGCGGTTTGGGTGTTTGGTCCATGGTCTAAGTGTAATTATTTGATATGTTGTTTACCCTACTATTTACCTGCTGTGACAAGGCCGCTGGGACTGTTTCATAATCTGTTGGGTCAATGGTCGGCTGATGCCACAAACTCATAACCATAGTAGAGAAAAAAATAACCCTTTGAGGCCCACAGCCAGTCACGCCGATTTCCAAACTTCAGTGCTCAACGTTCAAAGGACTTTGTACCAGGAAAGGGGTCCTCACAACGGAGCGAGTGACTGCACAGAACATTGCTGAAGAATCTCACAGACCGCATAGTCTGTTGGTGCCACCTTTCACCCTCAGTGTGTTCAGGGCTGAGCTGTGACACTTTCGAATTGATTGAAGCGTGCCTCAATGTGAGCTGTGTGTGTGTGTCACTTCACCCTTGCAGCTTACGGTGAGAGTCAGGTATCTCTCATGCCTGAGGCAGAACGTTGAGCTCAACCCCCACTCACTGACATAACAAGGTGTAGAGCTGGATGAACACAGCAGGCCAAGCAGCATCAGAGGAGCAGGAAAGCTGACGTTTCGGGCCTCGGCCCTTCTTCAGAAAAACTTCTTCAAAAAACCCTTCTTCGGTCTAGGCCCGAAACGTCAGCTTTCCTGCTCCTCTGATGCTGCTTGGCCTGCTGTGTTCATCCAGCTCTACAGCTTGTTATCTCAGATTCTCCAGCATCTGCAGTTTCTACTATCTCCCCACTCACTGACATTCTCATTTGCATTTCTGTAGGCAGTGATGCATCAGTCAGAGATGCCATCTTTTAGAAGAGATATCGAACTCCTGACCCACCTGTCCTCTCAGGTTGCTCTAAAAAAAATTCCATGGCTCTGTTTTGGAAAACAATAGGAGAGTTATGCCTGGTGATCCCACTGGTATTTATCCCTATCACTATGAAAATGGTCTTGCTGTGTGCAAATTGGCTGCTATATTTCCTACATCACATCAGTATTTACATTTAAACAAACACTTTAGTTAATGATATGGGGTTTAGAGATGTCCTGACATAATGAAAAGTGCCATTGATTTTTTTTTTCTTTTGATTTGGGGTGACATGGTGGCTCAGTGGTTAGCACTGCTGCCTCAAAGCACCAGGGACCCGGGTTTGATTCCACCCTCGGGAAACTGTCTGTGTGGAGTTTGCGCATTCTCCCTGTGTCTGCGTGTGTTTCCTCCGGGTGCTCCGGTTTCCTCCCACAGTCCAAAGATGTGCTGGTTAGGTGGATTGGCCATGCTAAATTACCTGTAGCTTAGGTGGGTTATAGGGGGATGGGTCTGGGTGGGATGCTCCAAGGGTCAGTGTGGACTTGTTGGGCTGAAGGGCCTGTTTCCACACAGTAGCTATTGTATTCTATATTAAATTGTCACTGGCTGGGCAAATGGCAACATTTCAAATTGTGCCCAAATCTCACGTGTCCTTCAGTTCTTCTGTGCAGATATTTTCCCAGTTCCTAGACAAGATAGGAAAATGGAGGTGCCTTCCCAGGGCTTTTGTTTATTTATTCATTGATGCAGTGGCAGGCAGGTAGCTATTAGCTGCTTCTACTTCACCCTGAGAGAAAATGAGCAGCAATTGTTAGCCCGAGTGATGTAAGTATCACTGAGATGGTGCTCATGAGTTTTTAGCATCATGAAGCTGATCCCATAGAGCCATTAGGGAGTGAGTTCCAGGATTTTGACCCGGCGACACTGAGGGAACAGCAATATCATTCCAAGTCAGGATGATGCATGGCTCAAAGATAAACTTGTAGGTTGTGGTGGTGTTCCCATACATCTGCTGCCCTTGTCCTTCTAGATGTTAGAGGTTGCAGGTTTAGAAGGTGCTGTCTAAGAAGCCTTGGTGAATTGTTGCAGTGCATCTTGTGAATGGAACACATCACTGTCACAGTGCATTGATTGTGAAGGGAGTGAATGTTATAGGTGGCATATGTGGTTCCAATCAGACAGGCTGCTTTATCCTGGATGGTGTGGAACTTATTGAGTGTTGTTGGAGCTGCACGCATCCAGGCAAGTGGAGAGTATTCCATCACAATCCTGACTTGTGCCCTGTAGATGTGGACAAGAATTAGGAAATCAGGAGGTGAGTTACTCATTGCAGAATTCCGAGCCTCAAAGAGTAACAAGTTTACATGGACAGTTTCCAGTGTAAATATTCACACGTTGTCATAATCCCGGAAATAACTTGACAGAAAAGGTATAACAAATTCATAAAACATTGTGCCAAATATCAGAAGTGAGCGATGTTTGGAATGCAAGCAAAAAAACTTTTGTGTTGCATAGCAATTATAATTTTTATTCATTTTCCTTACAAAATATACACATTTGGATGGCTAAGCAGTTAATCTAGCAAAGCAAAGGAGATCCTTGCACATTGAAATTACAGAATGACCTTGGTACATGATTGGAACAGTACATGCCATCACAAACCCTCATATAAGGTTTGTTATCCAGATTCATGATGCAGGTTGGAGGTCACGCAGATTTGCTGAGACCCTTGGCAGAGATGGATGCTTTGCTCATGTGTCTCTTGAGAGAACGTGTAGGTGGATGGATGGTAGGGCGAGTGGGTCTGGGGAGCAGTCGCTGTTCTGTGGCCAGGAATGGAGCATCACAGCAGTAGGGACATGGGCCTATATAATATCCATGCAGACTTGTCCATCACAGAGTGACGATTTATTCTTCAGTTGAGGGATTGGGGTAAGTGTGGCTCTCTCAGGACCTCTTGGCAAATCCGGATGGACAGAACGCGAGAGATTTTGTGCAGAATTCAAAGGTAGATGCTAGATGTCTTGGAGGGGGTGGGGGGAAAGAGAGAGTTTCCCAGGAACTGCCAAAGGAAAGAGATACCTCACAGAACTTACACATTGGACTCTTAAAGGGGCCATGAACACCAGTTGGACCACTCAGGCAATGAATGAATGAAATCATTGCTCACAGCCAAAGGGCACAGTATTCCATCATTACATTTCATGTCGTCTCTACTCCAGAATAAGGGGTCGCACATTTAAGGCAGAGATGAGGAGGAATTTCTTCTCTCAGAAGGTAGTGAATCTATGGAATTCTTTACCACAGAGGGCTGTTGAGGCTTGGTCATTATTCAAGGCTGAGATAGACAGATTTTTAACTGGTAAGGGAATCGAGGGTTATGGGGGAAAGGCAGGAGAGTGGAGTTGAGGATTATCAGATCAGCAATGATATCAGTGATTGGCTGAATGGCCTACTTTCGCTGCTATGTCTTATGATCTCTGGTGAAAGGCAGATCCTGCTGATTTCCTTGGATCACCTAGTGCTTATGGTGGACTCAGTGACCACATTCAGACTGCCCAGCGTGGATACTGAAGATGAATCAGGCAGTGTAGCATGGAATAGGTGAGTACAGACAACTCTCTAAACCACATGGAAACAACAAGCAGTCACCACAGAGCTATGCTTTCTTCATTAATCATTTGTGTTTTGCTCAATGTTGCTTTTAGGGTATGAGGAAATGGAACACTATAGCAAAGGGTTAGTTACAGAGTAAAGCACCCTCTACGTTGTCCCCATCAAACAACCCTAGGACATGTACAGCACAGGATTAGATATAGAGTAAAGCTCACACTGTCCCCATCAAACTCTCCCAAGTCACGTACAGCACAGGGCAGATTCAGTTTAAGGTTCTTTCTACACTGTCCCCACCAAACATTCCCAGGACAGGAACAGCACAGGGTAGATGCAGAGTGAAGCATCCTCTACACTGTCCCCCTCAAACACTCCGCCACAACATGTAAAGCATGTGTTAGATCCAGAATAATGTTCCTTTGACAGTGTCCCCATCAAACACTCCTAGCTCAGGTACAACATGGAGTCAGATACAGGGTAAAACTCCTTCTAATCATTTAAAATGAAAGTAAAGATCCTTATACATATTTCCAATAAACACTCCCAGGAAAAGTTTCTCTCTTCACAGATGCTGCCAGACCTGCTGAATTTCTCCACCACTTTCTGTATTCTAGATGGTTAAAAAAAATTCCTTTATGTCACTGTTGGTTCTTTTAGCAGTCCACTTATACCAGTAATCTCTGGTTCTAAACCCTCTGCCTATCTCTCTCTGGCCTCCTTGTGATTGTGAATGCTTCTATCTGGAGGATAAGAATAGTTAAAACTGGAAAAAAGTGGACTGGTCATATTAAGCCTGAGGTATACAAGATGAGTTAGAACAATATCTGTAAGTTTTATGGTTTCTCTTTCCAGGAAGTTGCCTCTTGACATTCTCTTCTCTGAATAGAACAGCTTAGCTTCTCCAATCAAGTAAAGTCCTTCATTTCTGGGTGGCAGAAGTTTATGGATATATTTTGTTACACTTTTGCTGTCCTCACCCTGCTCCTATCTTGTGTCAACTCGCTCAAACAGAGCTCAAACTCATTGCAGTGCTGTTCAAATTTTTTTTTTCTTTATTCATTCACAGGATGAGGGCATCGCAGGACAGGCAGCATTTATTGCCCATCCCTAATTGCCCAGAGGGCAGTTAAGAGTCAACCACATTGCTGTGGATCTGGAGTCACATGTAGGCCAGACCAGGTAACGATGGCAGTTTCCTTTCCTAAAGGACATTCGTGAACCACCTGAAAGACCTCTCTAGCATTCACAAAAGCATCAGCCAGATCTGAAACCCCAATCTAAATTCTGCCTCTTGTTTAGTTTTCTGTGTTGATTAACAGCAAGACCCAACAAAAAGCTTTCTTCATATGTGGAGCAGGAGACTCGAATTAAGTCTTTGTCTATCATGCAGAACAGTTTTGTGAGTTGTGTAACTGTGTGATGCAGAGGGCTATATGACAGGAAAGCAATCAAATGGTTAAAATTTGTAAACAGACCCAATCAATAATTCTGAAGGCCTTGCACACCCAAAGTATTGATCCGACTGTCGCAATTTAGGTTCACATTCTGGGGTCCCAGAAATATGACGTGTTCCTGAGTTCAACCTTCAAAACCAACAGGAATAGTGGAAAACAGTTTTTTAAAAGATTGTGGAAATGCGGCTTCTGAGGCCCCTTTGTTCCACAATGTTACATAGCCACCCACCCCCCGCCACCCTTTTGTTTATCAAAAGTTTTCCACCGTCCTACCCCTAGCATCTTCACCTACTTAAAGATCACTTGGTTATACGGAACTCAAATATCACTGAAAATAGGGACATCTTTCTGAAACTGTTTTGTTTATTGTTCATCAAGACAATTGGAAGAATGCCAATTTTCAAACTACTCACAACAACTTACACTGCTAGAGGAAAAAACTAAAGATGCTGATTGATTGGCTAGGCATCTCTTATTAGCTGAAGTGTTGCCATGGAGGAGGGAAATTTGGCATTCTTGCATTTGTCCTGATGAGAATAAGACAATAAACTTTGGCAACACATTTCTGTTTTCTGTGACATTTCCTTCTAATGGCGCCATTGTTGAATTGTATCCATTGAAATTCATATTCCCTCACGGCAGGGAATAACTTTCCCCATTCACTTTATCACTTCTGTCACTTGGAACTCAATGGTAGGGGGTAAATGCTGTGAGTCTCTGTCAATAATCTCTGCCTAACATTTGAGAAGTAGGGCTTGCTTTTTGCTCACTGGCAAGTGCAGGTTTGGGTCTATGATTGTCTACGTCAGGCCACAGGCCTGCGATGATTTTATTTTTCTCCTTTCTTTCATGTCTCCTGGAAAACCTAGGTAATGAGTACAGGCAGGACCACTGATAGAGCTTAATGGTGCCTTTGGTATACTCTGAGACCAGACCCACTTAATATCCATTCTATTAAACCTTATCTTGGATTATTAGACTAAGGGTTTTGTCTCTTAAAGGGATCTCTTTCATTTTTCATTCTTAACTTTGGTGTTGAAATCCTTTCATGATTTTGATCCACCCTATCTGTGTAGTCCATTCCCACCCTCCAGTATCCTGACATTCCTCCAGCTTTAGCCTTTGCACATCACTCGCTTTCTAACTGTTCCCTAAGTATCTGTGAATTCAACCAACTTGGCCCCAAATCCTGGGCAACCCTCATCAAAACTTACTGCCGACTGTCTTTACTGTTTTAAAATTGTCCTTGAAAACTCCTCACCTTGTCCACATCTGTTCGTGCAGCTTCAGGCCAATGTTTTTGATAATGCTCTTGAGATTTTTGCCTTGTCAAAGGCCCTGTATAAGTGTAAGATATTGTTGTAGTAACACTAACTTTTACATTCCACAAGTAGTGATCATCCAATGTTGAGCCAACTTCCTTTTTATATTGATGTAAATATTGAACGATATTGCTCTGTTTTTCATCATGTTTTCATGCAGTCAGCATTCTCATTGGCGGTTATTGTAGATCAGCAGATCACTGATTCCAACCCTGCTAGACACCACAGGTGATATGGTGAAGCATCACAGCAAATAATAAATGAGGGCTCTTTAAATTATTTGAAATTTTGAGACAAATCTGAAATTGTCAGAATGTACAGAAACTTCCGACTGAACATTTTCAAAAATGACAGGGATGTTCGACTAGGAGATGGAAGCACTTACTTATTTAAGCACCAAATACCAAATATCAGCTGTAACATCTCCCCTGCCCCCCTCACCAGCTCACAAGAGAGGTTAGATATAGAATAAAGCTCCCTCTACACTGACCCATCAAACACTCCCAGGGGAGTTACTACACAGGGCTAGGTACAGAATAAAGCTTCCTCTACACTGACCCATCAAACACTTTCAGGGCAATTACTGTATGGGCTTAGATACAGGGTAAAGTTCCTTTACACTGTCCCCATCAAACACTCCCAGGGTAGTTACAGCACGGGGTTAGATACAGAGTAAAGCTACCTCTGCAATGTCCCCATCAAATACTCTCAAGGCAGGGGCAACACGGTGTTAGATACTGAGTAAATCTCTCTCAACACTGTCCCAGTACTTCCAGGGCAGGTATAGCACTGGGTCAAATTAAGAGCAAGCTCCCTCTACACTCCAACCAGAAGCTCCCATAACAGGTACAGCACAGGGTTAGGTACAGAGTAAAGTTCCCTCTAGACTGTCCCCATCAAACACTTCCAGGGCATTTACAGCACAGGGTTAGATACAGAGTAAAGCTCTGTCTGTATTTTTGTATGTCATTTTGATTCAAACAGTCGGAATGTTATTGGAGAGCTGAAAGGGCAGTAAAGCCTTTTTGGCAAAGAGAAGATTTTGGTCAGTGGCCCAGTGTTTTCTAGCAGATGACGGATGGAACAGAGATAGCGCTTTTTACTAGTTTTGGTACCATATATCCGGTATTATTGTATACAGATGCTAATAGTTTGTTATAGTAACATGCTGTGAAGAGCAGCCTGTCTTCGAAGTGTACCTCCTGGCATGTGAGTCTCACAGCCACATTTCCAGGAAAATTGTTGGTGCCGCACACCCTTCGCATTCTCAAGCAGTTCTTGGATTCTGAGAAAAATACAAAGTGTGCGCCGCATGGGTCCTTTTCTCCTCCCCTCTCTCAGTGCTTATTGGAAAGTCCTACAATCTAACTTCTCCCACCACAAACACATGAGTTATGATCGGAGAAGGTGTAGGTCCCCAGTGGACAAATCCAGGACCCGAGTAAAAGTTTTTCGATCAAGGCGACTGCCAAAGGAGGAGGGCAAGGAGTCAGAGGTCAATTTGTGACCTCTAGATAACATTCTCGAAAAGCTGCATTGACTTCATGATATTTTCATCCTAGAAAAAGAAACAGAACAATAAAGAATTAGTGGGAACAGACACAAACACACACACACATGCAAAGCACATATGTACAACTGACAGACTCACCAATCCCAGGCTCTCTCACACAGACACACACTCAGCTCTCTCACACACACATATACGCACACACCCACACAGAGCTCACACACACACATCCAGCTCACATACATAGACAGCTCAGATACACACCCAGTTCAGAAACACACACCCAGCTCACGCACACACACACCTAGCTCACACACACATATGCCTAGCTTACACTCGCACACCCAGCTCACACACACTCACCTAGCTCACACTCACACACCCAGCTCTCTCTCACACACACACACACACACCCAGCTCACATACACACACACACCCAGCTCACGCACACACCCAGCTCACGCACACACACACAGCTCATGCACACACACACAGCCAGCTCACACTTGCACACCCAGCTCTCACACACACATACGCCTAGCTCACACTTGCACACCCAGCTCACACACACAACTCACACACACACCCACACCCAGCTCTCTCTCTCACACACACCCAGCTCACACACACACAGTTCACACACATACCTAGCTCACACTCGCACAGATCAGAACAGAATGAGCAAAATTGTCTGATTGAGGTAGAAAGTGGTGAGTGAGGATTGGAAAATGAGGTCAGAGATTGGAGCAGGATCACTGTTCAGAATTCAAAGTTATTCTTGTATCACAAGATATTACATAAAATGTACAGAATCCAAGTGGCGTTCATATTCTCCTCTGTGTTACATGTTTCTCATTGTTCGCTCAGGTGTCTCACTAGGTAGTGCATATCTCACCAGGATATAGTCATAACATTCGGGGATTCAGTGTCTCACCTTCTGACAGGTTTCGATAAACTCCTCAATGGTGACAACTCCATCTCGATTCTTGTCCATTTTCTGTAGAAAAGAGATCCAGAACAAAGTGAAAATCTATCACGAGCTGCTCAGGGGGATGTAAACCCATGAAGGAATTCAGATACAAGAAAAACAAAACTGGGAGTGGGAAACAGGAATGTAGTAACGTAAAGTGCAAGGCAGGAGAAATAAATGCCAGGATTTAATATGATCAAAATTCGGAAAAAGCAGAATTAAAGGCATTCTATCTGAATGCATACAGCACTCACAATAACACAGGAAAATAAACAGCACAAGGAAAGTACATGGACAAGATTGTGACACAATGGTCGTCATTGGGCTAGTAATCCTGAGGCCCAGGCTAATGCCCAGGAAAATAGGTTCAAATGTCACCTGTGGGAATTTAAACTCTTTTAGTAAAGGTCTGAAATTGACAGCCAGTCTAGGTTGTTGTAACCATAAAACTATTATCGATTGTTGTGAAAACCCATCTGGTTCACTAACATCCTTTTGGGAAGGACGTTAATGAACCATCATTACCTGGTCTGGCCTACATGTAACTGCAAACCCACTGCAATGTGTTGCCTCTTAAACGTCCTACGCAGCGTAGTTAGAGATGGGTAACAAATGCTGGACTTGCCGGCAACACTGACATCATACAAAAATGACATGGTTGCTATTGTAGAAATATGGCTACAAGGTGACCAAGGCTAGAAAGTGAATATTATTCAAGGGTATTCAATATTTAGGAAGGTAAAGGCAAAAAGGAAAAATAAGTGGGATAATGCTGATAATAAAGGCTGTGATCAGTGAGAGAGAATCTTAGATCAGAAGAACAGGATTTAAGAGCTAAGGGGCAGCAAGCTTTGGAAGGAGTGGTTTATAAGTCACCGAACAGTAGCACTAGCATAGCGTGTGTGTAAATCACCTTGGTGTGCTGGGAACTGAAGTGTTGAGCACAGACCTGGTCTTCTTACCCATGGAAGGATATACTTTCCAGAGAGCAGAGGTTCACCAGTCTGCTTCCTGGGAGGGTTGGGATTGTCCCATTGACGAGACTGGGCTTGTATTTTCTGGAGCTTGGAAAAATGAGGGGTGATCTCATAGAAGCACAAAATCATTACAGGGCATAACAGGGTGGATGCAGAAAGGCAGTTTCCCCTGTCTGAGGAGTGTCTAGAACTAGGGGACAGTCTCAGATTGAAAGGTAATCCATGTAGGAGTGAGGTGAGGAGGTATTTCAGAGGTGGGTGAGTCTTTACAATTGTCTATTTCAGAGGGCAGTGGAAGCTCAGTCATTGAGTTATGTTCAAGAGAGAAACTGATAGATTCCTAGATGCAAATGACATTGTGATATGGTGATGTGCAGGAAAATAACCAACTGGAATCATGGAGAGGCTTGAGAAGCTGAAGGACTTATTCTTGTTCCTATTTCTTATGTTCTTAATATCTTATCATTGCAGATTTTCTTATCAGATGCAGTTCTCATTCTATAGTCCTGTCAAAATCGTTAAATAAATATTTCCCATTGCTGGGACTGTGCTAATGAGCTCATCAAACACTCCCAGGACAGGTACAGCATGGGGTTAGTTACAGAGTATCTCCCATGGTTGGATGGATATCAAACAGATTACAGGAAGGAGATAAGAATCAACACAGTGTGGTGCTGGAGGAACACAGCAAGCTAGGCAGCATCAGAGGAGCAGGAAATTTGACATTTTTGTTGTGGTGCAATGATAACACCTCTTTCTCAATGTTGGCAAAACCAAATCTACATTAACAGAGCGGATGTGGAGAGCGTGAAGTCCCTCTGAGTGATAATAACTGACCATCTATACTGGACTTCCCACGTAGATGCGACAGTCAAGAAAGCACAACAACGTCTCTTCTTCCTCAGGCAGCTTAGGAAATTCAGCATGTCATAAAGACTCTCACCAACTTTTACAGATGCACCAGTGAAAGCATACTGGTGCATAACAGCCTGGCACGGCAGCTGCTGTGCTCAGGACTGTAACAGAAGGTGGTTTGCACAGCCCAGACCATCACGGAAGCCAACCTTCCATCCATGGACTCTATTTACACGGCTCGCTGCTGTGGAAAGGCTGCCAGCATCATCAAAGACCCATCACACCCCCCTAATGCTCTCTTACAACCCCTTCCATCTGTCAGAAGATACAGAAGCTTGAACAAACGCACCAACAGGTTCAAGAACCGTTTCTTCCCTGCCATTATTAGATTGCTGAATTGACCTCTCTAACTTCAAATAATGTCGATCTTGCTAATGATGATCTTGCTTTTGTGTGCCTCCTGTGTAGCTGTAATCTTGTGTGCCTCACTCTGTCTAAGCACCTTATCATCTGTATGTACTTGTTGCTATGATCTGCCTGTACTGCTGACAAAGCTTTTCACTGTACTTACGTACATGTGACTATAATAAATCAAATCAAGTCTAATGGACCCCATCAAACACTCTCAGGACAGATTTAGTATATATTTATACTAAATCCTCAGAAGGTTCTGGATCACTGGACCCAAAACGTTAACTCTGTTTTTTCCTTCACAGATGCTGCCAGACCTGCTGAGCTTTTCCAGCAACGTTGTTTTTGATCCTAATTTACAGCATCTGCAGTTCTTTCGGTTTTTATTAATCCAGAGACCCAGGTAACGTTCTGGGGACCTGGGTTCGAATCATTCCACAGCAGATGTCGGAATTTGAATTATATGAAAAAACATAATTAAAAATCTACTGATAACCATGAAACCATCTCGCAAATTATTGGAAATATCCACCTCACTCATGAATGTCCTTCAGAGAAGGAAATTTGCCATCCTTACCTGGTCTGGCCTACATGTGACTCCAGACCCACAGCAGTTTGGTTCACACTGAACTGCCCTTTGAAATGGCTGAGCAGGCCACTCACTTGTATCCATCGTAACAAAGTCTCAACAAAGAAATGAACCTGTGTGAACCCCCACCCGCCATCGACCTAGGCACCGGAAAAGACAGTGGGAGAAAGAGCTCTGTCGAACCTGCGAAGTCCTCTTTACTAACATCTTGGGGTCTGGTGGCAAAATTGGAAGAGCCCTCTCACAGCAACAGCCTGATATAGTCATACTCACAGACAGCACCATCGCCATCCCTGATGTGTCCTATCCCACCTGCAGGACAGGCTCAGTAAAAGTGGCAGCACAGTGGTATACAGTCAGGAGGGAGTTGACCTGGGAGTCTTTAATATCGAACCCCATGAAGTCTCACGGCTTCAGGTTAAACATGGGCAGGGAAACTTCCTGCTAATTAACTCCTACTGTCCTCTCTCGGTTGATTAATCAGTATTCCTCCATGTTGAACAACATTTGGAGGAAGCACTGTAGGTGACAAAGGTGCAAAATGTACTCTGGGTGGGGGTTTCAACTTCCATCACCAAGAGTGGCTCAGCAGCAGTACTACTGATTGAGCTGGTCGGGTCCTAAAGGACATAGCTGTTAGACTGGGTCTGCAGCAGGTGGTGAGGGAACCAACAAGAGGGAAAGACATACTCGACCTCATCATCACCAATCTGTCGGCTGCAGATGCATCTGTCAATGACCCAGTATCGGTAAAAATGACCAAAGCACAGTCCTTCTGGAGATAAAGTCCCATTTTCACATTGAGAATACCCTCCATCGTGTGGTGTGGCACTATCACTGTGCTAAATGGGACAGACTTCACACAGATCTAGGAACTCAAGACTTGGTATTCATGAGGTGCTGTGGGTCATCAACAGCAGCAGAACTGTACTCCAGCACAATCTGTAACCTCATGGTCTGGGATATCCCTCACTCAACTGTTACCATCAAGCCAGGGGATCATCCCTGGTTCAATGGAGAGTGCAGGAACAGCACCAGGCATACCTGTAGATAAGGTGTCAATCTGGTGAAACTACTGAACAGGACTACTTGCATGACAAACTGCATAAACATCAGGTGATAATCAGAACCATCTCACAACCAACGGATCAGGTCTAAGCTTTGCAGTCCTGCCACATCCAGTCGCGAATGGTGGTGGACATTTAAACAACTCACTGGAGGAGGAGGCTCCACAAATATCCCCATCCTCAATGATGGAAGAGTCCAGCACATAACTGCAAAAGACAAGGCTGAAGTATTCATAGACAATCTTTAGCCAGAAGTGCCGAGTGGATGATCCATCTTGGCTTCCTCCAGTGGTCCCAACATTACAGATAACAGTCTTCAGCTAAATCAGTTCACATCCACATAATAGCAATAAATGTTTGGAGACACTGGATACTACAAAGGCTATGGGTCCTGACAACATTCTGGAAATAGTACTGAAGACTAATGCTCCAGAACTTGCTGCTTCCCTCGCCAAGCTGTTCCAGTACAGTTACAACACTGGCAGGTACCCGACAATGTGGAAAATTGCCCAGGTATGTCCTGTACACGACATGCAGGACAAATCCAACCCGGCCAATTACTGCCCCATCAGTCTACTTTCGATCATCAGTAAAGTGATGGAAGGTGTCACCAACAGTACTATCAAGCAGCACCTGCTCAGCAATAACCTGCTCAGTGACGCCCAGTTTGGGTTCTGTCAGGGCCTGACCTCATTACAGCCTTGGTGCAAACATAGACAAAAAGGAGATGAATTCCAGAGGTGAGGTGAGAGTGACAGCCTTGACATCAAGGCCTCATTCGACTGAGTGTGGCATCAAGGAGCCCTGGCAAAACTGAAGTCAATGGGTATCAGGGGGCAAACTCTCCGGTGGTTGGAGTCACACATGACACATAGGAAAGTGGTTGTGGTTGTTGGAGGTCAGTTCTTTTAGCTCCAGGACATCTCTGCAGGAGCTCCTTAGGGTAGTGTCCTAGGCCCAACCATTTTCAGATGCTCAACAGTGACCTTCCCTCCATCATTAGGTCAGAAGTGGGGATGTTCACTGACGATTGTACAATGTTCAACACCATTCGCAACTCCTCAGATATTTAAGCAATCTGGACAATATCCAGGACTTGGGCTGACAAGTGGCTAGTAACATTTGCACCACACAAATGCCACCACCCCTTGACAGTCAATGGTGTTATTAGTATTGAATCCCTCACTATCAATATCCTGGGGGTTACCATTGACCGCAAACTGAACCATCAAACACTCCCAGGACAGGTACAGCGCAAGGTTAGATACAGAGTAAAGCTCCCTCTGCTCTTTTATAAAACAAAGAGCTGTTGATGCTGGAGAAACAAAAACAGAAATTGCTGGAGAAACTCAGCAGGTCTGGCAATGTCTGTGGAGTGAAAACAGCGTCAACATTTCGAGCCCGGTGACTCTTCATCAGAACTCAGCTGTTATATTAGATAGTGAGAATTTTTAACCTGCGACCTCTTACCTGGAAGAAGGTTTCCACGTGTTCCTGTGGCGATTCCTCCCTCACTGTCGGATAGGTGTACTTTCCCATCATATCGTAAATGGATTTCATAATATCCAGCATTTCCTGCAAAATAAGTCAAAGGAAAAAGAATTAATCAGAAGCCACTTTCCATCCCCCTTCAGATAAGTTCAATAAGGGATCAATCTCAACGAGGCCACTAGCTCATTTTAGGACACATAACTATCAACACAATGAGCATTGCTGGCTAGGCCAGCATTTATTGCCTGTCCCTCGTTGCGCTTGAGAAGATGGTGGTGATCTGTCTTCTTGAACTGCTGTAGTCCATTTGTTCTTGGATTCTCAGCTTCTGTCACCATTGTCTGATCCTCTACTCTGAGTGCACACACTCACACTCATATCACTCATGCACACTTACACACATTTATACACACATTCTCATACAGTCTCACACACACTCATACACATATACAGTCTCACACTCACATACACATCCACTCACACCCATACACAGTATCATGCTCATATACACACACACACACGCTCATACACACATATGTCCCTACGCTGAAACACTCGTACATCAGATAAGCACATTCATACCTATACACTTATGCACTCAGACACACATACACTCACACCCATTAAGCCACACTTTCAGTCTCACTCACACACACACACACACACATACACAGACAGATGTTCACTCTTACACACAGATGAATGCTCACTCTCACACACAGGCACATGCTCTCACACACAGTCAGACAGATGCTCACTCTCACACACAGACACATGCTCACTCTCACACACTGATGCTCATTCACACTCTCACATTCACACACAGATGCATGCTCGCTGTCACACTCACACATACAGACACATGCTGACTAATGCTACATCTCAAGGGCCTTTATGCACATTGACTGTAGCGATATGAAGTCCTTTTACAGGCTCCTGTGTCAGTGCAGAGGTCTGCATCTCTTCAAGCCCTGGATAAACCAGTGATGATGAGACCTGTCCTCTCCTGGCTAAGGATCTTAGTCTCAGAGCCACTCGCTGCAGGGACCAGGCAAACCCCACTTCCTAAGGCGAATGAAAATGGCAATTCATTGCCCCACTTCCACCCTCCGCAGCACCTTCAGGGAAAGAAGTGGCAACTCCCATTGGAATAACACCTCTCACGATCTCGGGATATCTGAAAACACTGCACAGCTAATTCTGTAGTCTTGTTATAATGTTGTAATGCAGGAAACACTGTCAACGCAAAGCAAACCCCCACAGGAAGCAAAATGATCACGATCAGACAGACTGTTCACTGAAGAATTAATATTGACCAGGACATGGGGAAGAGGGAATAGTGATTATGGGATATTTCACATCGCTGTGAGAAGCAAAATAGTGCCCGCATTTCAAAACTCAACTGAAATGACTGTACCTGTGACAGGGCAGCCCCCCCACCCCCCACTGCCCCGGAGCACTGCAGTGGGATTGTCAATCTTAATGATGCGCTCGAGACTCTAGAGGGGAACTTGAACCCTGAACCCTCCGAATCAGGTAAGAGTGCAGCTCACTGAGTCACAACTCACACCACGGCGGAACAAATAGACCAGAGATGCTGTCTTGTTACATGGAGCATCACTGAGGTGTGTGACCATATTAGAATCCGATACAGGGCAGAATCTTGTGGAGGCGATGGAAGTCTCAGTCACTGGTGTGAGAACTGGAGAGAGCCCCACTTTGTCTCTTTTTGAAAAGGCCCAGCATCAACTGACAGCAGAATGGAATAAACCTTTCACCAACAAGTTAGTCACAGCGGAATCTGGAGTATGGCGGAGTTGCCACTTGTCAGCTTCCCACCTGAATAAATCCCACCATCCACCAAACTCTCTCTATGGAGTAGAGCACCAAAGACCACCCGCAGGATTCATGGGAGCTGTGCCTGTTCCCAAGGTCAGCTTCTGACTGGAGCTCTCAGAGGATACTCCCACATGATAGCACAGTGACCACATTTTCAAAAGTACTTCACTGGCTGCAGAACACTTTGGAATGTAATGAGAAAAGTGCAAGAGGAGTACAAAGCAAGTTCCATTCCTTTGTTCTCTGTCATTCTTTCTCAGACTCCTTTTCTCTCTTAGACAACAAGGTGCAGGGCTGGATGAACACAGCAGGCCAAGCAGCATCATAGGAGCAGAGAGGCTGACGTTTCGGGCCTAGACCCTTCATCAGAAAAGGGGGAGGGGAAGGGGGTTTTGAAATAAATAGGGAGAGAGTGGGAGGCGGATAGAAGAGGGATAGAGGAGAGGATAGGTGGAGAGGAAACAAACAGGTCGAAGAGGCGGGGATGGAGCCAGGAAAGGTGAGTGTAGGTAGGGAGTTAGGAAGGGGATAGGTCAGTCCAGGGAGGACGGACAGGTCAAGGGGGCGGGATGAGGTTGGTCGGTAGGAGATGGAGGTGCGGCTTGAGGTGGGAGGAGGGGATAGGTGGGAGGAAGAACAGGTTAGGGAGGCAGGGACGAGCTGGACTGGTTTTGGGATGCGGTAGGGGGAGGGGAGATTTTGAAACTTGTGAAATCCACATTGATACCATTGGGCTGCAGGGTTCCCAAGCGGAATATGAGTTGCTGTTCCTGCAACCTTCGGGTGGCATCGTTGTGGCACTGCAGGAGGCCCAGGATGGACATGTCGTCTGAGGAATGGGAGGGGGAGTTGAAATGGTTCTCCTTTTCTCTCTTGTTCTCTTTCTCTCATTTTCCTTTCCCTCTCTCTTGCTTGCACTTAAGAGAGATTATTAATTATGTAATTAACATCCTCCCTCATCATTGGTTTACCTCTCTGGTTATGCAGCCGTCTTTATTTAAATCATACAAGTTGAATGCCCAGCTGAGTTTGTCTTCAATAGAGCCACGGAGAATGACCGACAAACCTGTCACAAAGTTCTGTGAGAAGAAAAGAAGATGAGAAACAATAAAATCTCCTGTAGCAACAGTCAGTGTAATCTGTTTTCTGGTATCCTCTGGTTCTTATACGTTATAAATAATCATATTTTAGACTTGCAAGGTTTAGAGCCTTTTGTCTTTAATCCAACTTGCCATGCTGCCTGGCGAGGAGACTTGATTATGCTGATATTGTGTTACACAACACCTGACTCTTTAATGCAACTATGAATGCAGCACACTGCGACACTCACACATGCAACTGATCCCTCGATAACTAGTTTCTTACTCTTCACTGACAATACAATAATAAACAACAGATACTTATCACATCAACACTTCTAAGCAGGAGCTGTGCTGCATTTCTTGAGACTGTTAGATTACATTGTGATCAACATGTAGATCACCTAAAAGTGCTGTGGCTCAGTGATTAGCACTGCTGTCTCACAGTATCAGGGATCTGGGTTGACTTTCTGTGTGGAGTTTGCACATTCTCCCTGTGTCTGTGTGTGTTTACTCCATGTGCACCGGTTTCCTCCCGTAGCCCAAAGATGTGCAAGTTCGGTGGATTAGCCATGGGAAATGCTGGTTTATAGGGTAGGGGGTTGGGTCTGTGTGGGATGGTCTTCAGAGGGTTGATGTGGACTTGATGTGCCAAATACTTCCACACTTTAGGGATTCTATGATCTCGTTCCCCCACCTTTCTTTTATCACTTGAACATTCCATTTCACTCCCAACCTATCACCTCTGTCTTGAAATTTTTTTTTAAAAGAAGCATAGCATCCACAATCTGTCTGTTTTGGTGCTTCAATGTCCAACAGGAAGATAGCCCCTGCCCCAGCTCCCCATTCTTAGATGGAATTGCAGGAGATTCACTAACCTCGAAACTGACAGAGCCGTTGTGGTCTGTGTCAAAGGCATTGAATAGAAAGTGTGCATACATGCTGGAGTCTGCAATGGAAAGCACATCATCTTCAATCATTGCAACAATCATGTTCAGCTCATTTGTTCACTTACTTTCAGTGCACAAGATGTTCCTGCAGATGGATACAGATTAAAGCTCTCTCTATACTGTGCCCATCAAACACCGCCACAACAAGTTGGGTTAGAAATAGAGTAAACCCTGCTCTACTCTTTTAAACTGAAAGTAAAGCTTTGTCAGCTCTTTTAGACTGAAACTAAAACTCCCTATACTCTTTTAAACTGAAAGTAAAACTTTGTCTACACTGTCCCCAGCAAACACTCCCAAGACAGGTTTAAAGCTCCCTCTAAACTGTCCCCATCAAACACTCCCAGGACAGATGCAGCATAGGAATAGATACAGTAAGGACAAGGGCAGCAGATACATGGGATCACCATTGCCTGCAAGTTCACCTCCGGGCCACTCACCATCCTGACTTGGAAATATACTCCTGTTCCTTCATAGTTGCTAAGTCAAGATGCTGGAACTCCTTCCTCAACTGCACTGTGGGTGTCCCTGCAATCAAATGGACTGAAGCTGTTGAAGAAGGCAGCTCACCACCACCTTCTCATGGGTGATTAGGAATGGACAAGAAATGCAGGCCCAGCCAGTGACCCAATGCATAATGAATGATTGTCATTCATTTGCTGATGATTTCCCAGTATGTTAGGCCTAGCCTCTCAGCCACATCCCTGAGAGTCTTTTAACTTTTAACTTATTCCCTTATTTTCCTACTATAAACTACGAAAGACTTCGATGTTAACTATTATCTTATTTCTTTATTTTTTTACAATTCTATGAAGTAATGCTTAACTTTTTAACTCTCATTTCTCTTATTATTTTGTACCTAATTTTTTGGTACCTAAAATGGCACCACGTGTGGCGACATTATACACTTTTCACTGTACTCCTGTACTTGAGTACATGTGACAATAAAATATAAATCTATCTATGAAATCTATGAGTCTGATAGTATCGATCTGATGGCTAAACCACTTAAACTCAGACCCTTCATTGTCTTTTAATGGGACAGAATAAACTAGCCCAGAGGCGTGTTTCTGAATTTTGTCTGATCTGTGCTGACTCCAACATTACTATGCCTGTCATGAAAGGGTCAATCATTTTATAATTCTTTAAATGTTGGAATCACTGGCTACATGCTTAATTGTTACCCATCCAAAGGTACCTTGGCATTTGACACAGTGAGACTTTGGTGGGACATTTTAGAGGGTAATTCAGAGTGGATCACACAGCGATGGATCTGCAGGAGTCAGATGTCAGCCCAGATCAGTCAAGGACATCAGAGCTCCTTCCTTAACAGAGCAGCCAAGAACCACTGGGACATTCCCTCAGCTAGACAGCTGCTTTTACCAAGACCAGCACTTTTTTGAAGAAAATTCACATTGAGGGGAAGTGCTGGCGTAGTTGTATTATCACTGGACTGTTAACCCAGAGTTCATAGGTAATGTTCTGGTGACCTGGGCTTGAATCCTACCATGGCAGCGGTGGAATTTTAATTCAATAATAATCTGGAATTAAGAGTCTAATGATGACCAGGAAACTATTGTCAATTGTTGAGGGGAAAAAAAAATCTGGTTCACTAATGTCCTTCAGGGAAGGAAACTGCTGCCCTTAGAGACTTGGTCTGACTTACATGTGACTCCAGACCTGCAGCAATGTAGTTGACTCTCAGTTTCCCTCTGGACAATCAGGGATGACCAGTAAATGCTGAGCTAGCCAGTGACACCCACATCCCATGAATGAATAAAACAAAATTCTCAAACTGCCATTGGAGGATTATTAATCCAGACCCATGGACTACTGACCCAGTAAAATAACCATTGCACTACACGATACCCAGAATTCAGAGCTTCCACTCACCTCCTTGAGGGAAGAACTGGGAATAAATCTGTTTAAATGTTTCTTCGTTAACAACACCACTGGGGCACTCCTGGCAGCAAGGGACAAGTAAATATCAAACTCAGTTTACAATCTGCATGAAGCATTGATCAGTCATGATTTCAATATAAAAAAGATCTAGGTTTATGTGTTATAGTTGGCGTGTTATGTTGGGACAGTGCCCCTTTAAGAGGTGACACTGGTGAGTCAATGGCCACAAGGACATGTTCAGATTTTCTTTGCGCTTTACAGAATGAAAAGCTTGGGAATGAAACCTGCCTGTCTGAGGGTTGCAGCAAACGATAGGTTTGTATGTTCTTTGGTTCTGACTGGAGCTTAATAACTGCCCAGTACAGAACACCAACTCGGTTCTTTAGATGGAGAGCAAGTATATGGACACTGAGAATTAGTGCACAGGCAAACTAGAAGAGAACCTGCATTTCTGCACAGCCTCTCTAAAGCACACCACGGACAATGACACACGCTTGAAATAAGGTTCCTGCTGCAAGGGCAGCCAGTTTGAGCACAGCAGGCTCCCCCAAGCAGCAATGGGACAATCACAAGACCATGGGATGTTGACTGAGGAGCTAAATATTGCCCAGGACACTGGGAGGAACATTCTCAACTTGTCTTTGAAATAGGGGCGATGCAATCTCCCAAGTCCACCTCCAAGGGCAGACAGGTCCTCAGTTTATTATCTCAGGGCAAAGGTGGTATTCCTGATAGGGCGGCATTCACTCAGCACTGCGCCAGTGTGTAGGCCTGAATGATGTCCTCATGTCCCTGGAGTTGGACTCGAACCTACAACCCTTTGACTCCGTGTATGTTACAGTCAGGGATCTCTGCCCCGTGGGAGAGCTACTTCCTCGTTTTAATCCGACCGAGAACTCACAGTTTTGAAGCCCCGATAGAGGACCTGGAGTTCCTTCTTGGTGAACTTGGTTTGCCCTTGAAGCTGTTCCAGGCCTTCAGGTCGGTGACATACTGTGGATGGTTCAAATTCATCCTCAATGCTGTCTGGATGGATAAAGAGGGAGAAACAAAGAAGCAAAGTTAGAGATGAAGCTTTCCTACTGGGCGCCAAGTTAACTGGGAAAACAGATGATAATGGATAAGTGAGTGATGACTTCATTGTCAACTCAAGTGCTAATTCAAATGAAAAAGATGTAATCCCTGGGTCTCGGTGAGATTATAGAGTCATCAGAAGATACATCACAGACCGAGACCAATCAGCCCAACATGTCCTGTGCTAAACCTTTGATAAGGCCACCTGAGTAATTCTGTAATTTTCCCTTCAAGATTTATCCAATCCACTTTTGAAAATGAATCCGCATTCACTGCCTTTTCAGGCAGTGCATTCCAGATCAAAACAACAAAAATTCTCCTCATCTTCCCCTTTCTACTTTGCCAATTGTTTCCATTTTATATCCTCTAGCCTCCTACCACTGGAAACAGTGTCTCTTTATTGACTCTCCCAAAACCATTCATTATTTTCAACACTTCTGTTGAATTTCCTTTTCACCTTCTCTGCTGTAAGGACAGCGATCCCAGCTCCTTCAGTTTCTCCACATGAACTGAAGTCCCACATCCCTGGCATTATTCTCATAAACCTGCTCTGTACCTTCGTGAAGATCCTGACAATCTTAAAGTTCATTTAATTTCCAGGTAGATTTGAGACAAGTCTCTCTCGGGATCAGTAGTGGAGAATGTGTGTTTGCTAAGATGCTCATGACACCTTTGGGAGAAAGAAGTTGTGAAAATATTGTTTGGCATCACTCTTGAAATTAAACACTTGACAGCTGGCAATTGGATGAATGGCATCTGCTATTTACAATTCAAGTTCTAGCACGGAATTAACAAGCAACGTTGTTTCCTCAATAGATCAGTCAAGTGGTGAATTGCCTAAAACGCAAAGACCAATAAGATCCCAGATCCAAGCCCAGTCAGTGCTGGGTCAACCAATCTCACCAGTGGCCCAGTCTGGGCCTTTGGGAAAGAGAGGAGTCAAGGTGTTGATTGAGGCATGATTCTGCAAATCAATGAAAAGAGCACATCCACAGGCTGCATCAGAGATCTTGCACAGAAAGCATACCCATTTTATTAGCGTAGCCATGGAACTGTGATCACATCGTTGCTCCTGGAACAATTTGGGCTTTGTGCAGCAAATGGCTTCTATCTTTACTACCCAAAGCCTCGACACCATCTGCAACTTGTGATGGTGACAAAGAGGTCCACTATCTCCCCTTGACATTTGACTGCATCCTCATCACCAACTCTCCCAGCTTCACCATGCTGGGATCAACACTGAGCAGGTAGTCACTGACAGCAACTACAGGAGCAGCTCCGAGGCTGGGAATTTCGCAGTAAGTAATTCGCCTCTTGACTTCCCAAAGTCTGGCTACCATCTACACGACACAAGTCAGGAGTGTGATGGAAGAGTGTAGCCCCACTCTGGAAATAACACTTGAGAAGCTTGTTGATATCCAGGACAAAGCAACGAAGTAATCAACAACTCATCCACTAACCTAACCATTTCCTACTTCCACCATCTGTACTCAGTAGCAGCAGTGTCTACCATCCACAAGATTCACTGCAGCAATATGGTGAGCTTCCTTCAACAACATCTTCCAAAACTGTGATCTCTACCAACAACAAGGACAAGGGCAGCAGATACAAGGGTACACCACCACTTACAAGTTCCCCTCCAAGCCACTCACATTCCTGACTTGGCAATATATCGCCATTCCTTCAGGGGTCACTGGGTCAGATTATTTTTATTCACTCGTGCGATTTTGGCATCCCTGGCATTTATTGCCTGTCACTAGTTGCCCTTGGATTTTGATCCAGAAGAGAATCCTGGAACACCCTCCATTACAGAATGGTTGGTCTACCTACACCAAATGGAGTGCAGCAGTTCAAGAAGGTGACTCACTATCACCTGCTCCAGGCCTATTAGGAATTGGCAACAAGTGCTGGTGCAGCCAGTAATGCCCACATCCCGTAAAAGAATAAATGAAAATGGGGAAAAGTGGCATTAGTGTAACAAGAGTAATGATGAGGGAGACAAAATCGTTTGTTGCTATCTCTCAACTCTAGTCATCCTGCCTACGGCCAAAGAACGGACAACCTGCCCATCCATTGGTATGCAGGAGGGTCAAGTGGGCACTGTGTAGCCGTGGAAATGGTTCAATAGAGATCACATGATTACTCCAAGTGGACAGCTCTCACCACTTCAAACCATTTCATCCAAGAATGAAGACCCTTCTTCACAACTGAACAAGTACTTTCACTGAACAGCAGGGCTGAGGAAATGTTCTGGACCTTCTGTAGAGGTTTAGAAATAAAAGCACTGAGTGTAAGTGTAAAATCGGATGGGAATGTGGTACTAATTCGGGAAGGTGAGCGAACCAGGATGAGTGAGGAGATGAGCAACATGAGTGGAGATGAAGATTGAAGAAAACCACACCATTCTTCACTGGGATCCTGATTTTTGAAAGGGCTTTTTGAGTCTGGACACTGCAGTCTGAATTTAAGGTTGAGGATCTGCAGAGAAGTTGTCTCATCCTTGAGCTTTTGTACTGAGAGTGCAACAACCCTTCAACCCCCAGGTGCTGAGATGCCGTCGAAATGCTCCTCCTTCCCTTGAGATACAGGGCTCTGATGAGAACCCATTAGAGTACAGGAGGTTCCCAATTTATAAATGTCCAACTTATTAATTCTCATATTTAGGAATGCCATCCCATACATTGGTGTAATTTTAAATATCCGACATATGAACATTTCCTGCACTTATGGACGCCTGTTTATATTATCCTGCATCATATTCTGGCTTGTGAACAAATCAATTTGCAAACTGATCCAGTAAACAGAACCCACTCACAACCTGAGGTCTGCCCGGGATCAGATCCAGGTTGGCACTAGACCCCAGGATAGTCAGAGCGGCGCTGTAGGAGCTATTGTGCAGATTCTACAAAATGAGCCCTGGGTTTCAAGGCAAGTTGACAGATAAGGAACCATGATCTTATTGAGAAATATTTGAGGGACTGAATAGCCTCTTCCTTATCTATTGACAGACTGAGATTCTACATTCCAACTGCTCTGCCAAAGATGTACTAGCAACATTTTCAATGAGGGCTAATGCATAGAGGGAGCACAGGCGAGTGTTCTGAGTAGAATACTGTCCAACAGTGCATTCTCATCTGTCACCATTCACAGGAGGTCCTGGCCACTGGCACTGACTGTACGCAGCAGGGCACAGGGCAGTGGTACTGGTTGAGGGTCTTAACACAGCTCGAGGAGGTAGGGAAATGGAGGGAGGGGAAATGTCAGGCAGGGAGGGAAGGAGGAGAGGATGACCAGGAGGGGTAGGGTCAGGGTCAGGCAAAGTGAGAAGTAGGTAAGTGGAGGAAGATGGTGCTGGAGGAGAGAGGGGATGGCAGGAATGGAGGAACTGCTGAGAGGTGACAGGAGGGGAAGGAGGGAGAAGGGGAGATAGAAAAGAATAAGGAGGTAGTCTGAAGAACGTAGGGTGAGGGTGAGGGAGCTAGAAAGGACGGAAGAGAAAGTGGCAGGAGTTAAATTGGAAGAGTCTGACTTCTGTCATCCAGCAGCAAAGCCTGGCTGAGAGCAGGAAGCTCCTGAGCTCCCGAACAAGAGCCATTACTGAGAGTGAGTGGCAGGGAGCCAGAGGGGCAGCAGATGATGGGATGGTACTAGCAGGTAAATCACACAGCGTGCAGAGGTTTAACAGCACAGCTTTAGGGAGGGGCCATGGCATCTGTCACACTAACCCCCTTGTTATTTTCAACTGTACATCTCAAACCATCACATGTTAATGTTCACAATTATACTGTTAGAAGTAGAAACATCTTAGAATCACTGGGAACTATCCTACATCTAACCACGTGCTGGAATGGGAGCTTTACTCCGTATTTAACCCTGTGCTGACCCTGACCTGCGAATGTTTGATGGGGACAGTGTACAGCAAGCTTTCCATTCAGTTTAAAGGAATAGAGGAAGCTTTACTCTGTATCTAACCCTGGTCTGTCCTTGTCCTGGGATATTTAACAATCCTGGGACAGTGTTGAGAGAGTTTTACTTTCAATTTAGAAGGGTAGAGGAGGCTTAACAGTGGGGCAGCACAGAAGCTTACAGTGCCAGGGACCCAGGTTCGATTCCACCCTCAGGTGACTGTCTGTGTGGAGTTTGCACATTCTCCCTGTGTCTGCGTGGGTTTCCTCTCGGTGCTCCGGTTTCCTCCCACAGTCCAAAGATGTGCAGGCTAGGTGGATTGGCCATGCTAAAGTGCCCATAGTGTTCAGGGATGTGCGGGCTGGGTGGATTAACCATGGAAAATGCAGGGTTACAGGGATAGGGTTGGGGTGAGTCTAGGTGGGATGCTCTTTGGAGGATCAATGTGTTTTTGACGGGCTGAATGGCCTGCTCCCACACTGTAGGGTTTCTATATACAAGGATTCTACGTACTGTGTATCTAACCCTCTGCTATACCTGTCCCATGAATGTTCGATGGGGAACAGTGTTGAGAGAGCTTTACTTTCGGTTTAAAGTGTAGAAGGAAATTTAACCTTGTGCTGTCACTCCAGAGAGTATTTGCTGGGGATTGTATGAAGGAGGCTTTACTTTCGGGTTACATGAGTACAGAGAAATACACTTCCATTTTAAAAGTATAGAGGCATCAGTTTAAAAGAGTAGAAGAAGATTTAGTCTATAACTAAGTCCATGCTGTCGCTATCCTGGAACTGTTTGATGGGGACAATGCAGAGGTAGCTTTACTTTCAGGTTAAAAGAGTAGACGAAGCTTTAATCTGTATCTAACCTTGTGCCATCCCTATCCTAGGAGTGTTTGTTGGGGACAGTGTAGGAAGGGCTTTATTTTCCATTTACTTTTAGATTAAAAGAGAGATCTTCAAACTGTGTCTAAAATTTGATGTACAAGGTGAAAAGCCCATCAACACTATTTGATGGACAACTTGGTGATAAGCAGCAAATACAGTTTT